CCATGCCTAAGACCAATGTTAGTTCTACCCAGAGTATTTCCATTGAAATTAATGGACATTGCTAACCTAGGCCCATTAATTTCAGTGGGACTACTCTGAGTAGAACTTAGTTGGATACAACCCTGTGTCCTTCTCTGTACTAGTGCTCTGAAATCTGCATTTGTGCATAGGATTCTGCCTGGTGCTTGCTCAAGTCAACAGTTTTCCATGGCTTTCTCTGGAGGATGAAGAACTTGAATTTGGAGTATGGTTTCCACCAAAACCTTTAAAGCTCAAATCAGCATGGTACATGGGCAAAAGAAGGTTCAAAGGTACAACAAGTGCTGTGTATAGCTAAGCAAGCTAAGATGATTCAACAAGGGAGACAATGCCTTGGGCCTCATTATATGGGAATGGGATGGGCACAACTTCAGCGTGGCAAGTGGGGCTGTCTTTTGGACTGGGCAAGCAACTGGGATTTCTGCTGTCAATTAAGCTTTGCCACGGATGCGCCCATGCAACTCTGACCTTGCAGCTCTGCCCAGACTCATCCAGCTAAGCAGCACTGGTGTCAGTATCAGGTGGGTCATCCCACTACATTCACCACTACTGGACTGATCAGTGCTTGAAGGGGAGGCATGGCTGGTTGGCTGGAACAAGAATGCCCCTAGTAGGTTGAAAGGCACCACTGCTCAAGGCAGACCCCAGCACAAAATCAACAGCAGCTATTTCCTCCTGCTTAGTTACCTAATGAGACTGAGACTCCCATTCAGCAGAAACTGTGAATGTTGTCACAGTTGTGGCAAGATGAAGGGAACTTGTGGAGGGAGAATTTCCAGTACCTTTCTCTTCAGAGTCCCATGTACCACATGAAAATCTTCTCTAAAGGGTCAGTGGGTCTGCCTGAGGAGTCTGGAATGAGGGATGGAGATGTTGAGGAAGTGGGAGAACTGCTCACAATTGCAACCTTGCACAAGCAGAGCTCTCTCCTTGGGCAAAGTGTCTCCAGTTTATTTTGAGAAACTCCTTCCACTCAAGGCCCCTGTAACATGTATCATGTTTTCCAGGAAGCAATCCCAACCCTGAAACCTAGACCTGGACGCAAGGCTGTCAATTTTCAAGTATCAGTGGCAACTCTAATGAAAGAACCCAATGTCATAGTGGATAGCAGTGTTTAAAATCACTCTTAGCTTGCAAACCTTCTGACTAATTTGATCACAAGAAAATCCATTCATAGTCTGTTGTCCCTCTGGCTTGATTTAGATATAAATTCACCACTCACTTTTTGCACCATATCTGCCGCTGCTGTTTCAACCACTCTTCCAATCCCTATTTTTATTGATGCTGCATGTGCATTCATAGTCCACATCTGCACCATATATTTAAAGCACTATTATACAACTTTAACCGTCTTTGTTCAAAAACCAACCTCTCTTTCCAGGGAGTTCTAGGGATTTCAGCTCTGTAGGGATCTCCTAACAACTTTCAGCACTGTTAATACAATTCCCAGGATTATTTGGGGGAAATCCATGACTGCCTAAAGTGGTATAATAGTGCTTTAAATGTATGGTGTTGATGTGGTTCTTAGTGTTGAAAAAAGTATCCCTGTGACAACATGCAGGGTTGCACTTAAGTTTTACTTAGAGTAGACTAATGGGAGTAAATTAATTTATTAATCTCCTTAATTTCAATGGGTCTATTCAGAGTATGACTAGCATTGGGCATTACCTATTTGCTCAATGGTGGCAACAATGATGTCAAGTGGGGATTCAGGGTAGGGCAACAATCTCCTTTAAAATATGTAAATAGTGCTAAGACAAGCTGTGTTGGTAGTCTTATATGGCAGCGTCCCTGTCCCTCCTCATTTGTTTGGCAACATTCATTTAACATTTGGTAGATTTCTATCCTGTCATTTTGACACTAGCCTGAGAAGTATGCAAATACAATCTGTTTGAGATTGCAGCCTAGCTCATTTATCAAGCCTACTCACTGCTCATGATCTAGTGGGGAATTTGTAAAGCATGTTACAGCTTGGAATCATCAGCAAGAATATAATGATCCCAGGGTTTGGGATGGATTTGTTTTATGGCTCTTGCATTCAATTCAATTTTTTGTTTACATGCTTCCAATTTTGGCTAGAAAAACTCAATATTCCAAGGAAGAAGTTGATCAATACACACGTTATATGTATATCTATATCTGTCTTCAGTAGTTTGTCCTGTGTAGGCTGTACAGAAATCAACCATAAAAACTATAACAAAATAATATCAATATGTACTGATTTCTTAATCTTCAAGGCTAGGGAAAGCTTCTGCAGAAGGTAACTACAGAGATTTTAAACTGTCAAAAGGATTTATCTTTGCTTTTATTTTACCTTCTTGTTGAATGTAATGGCTGTGGAAGTGTAAATTGATAAAAAATCTGAATCTATGTCTTCTGTACTTTAATTCAATATCTCATTCTTATCATGATAGTTAAAGTAAATGTCATACCAGGAGTTGACATTTTTGCTGTGCAAATAGTTCATTCTCCCATTCTAAGGTTTACCACCTCAAAAATGAGTGTAACTGGTATTCACTGTGGCTTTTCCCAACTGATTCACCTCCCATTTCCCTTTCCCTTTCTCCCTAACAGCGAGTTTACTTTTATACTGTAAACCAGAGGGCTGAGCACATGCTATTTCTCATTTTAACACAGAGTACCACCTGCAATTGAAGGTGTCATATACACCAAAAGTGAATTCAGTTTCCCAGTGCCAACCTTATGTAGCCAAAACTGTACCATCCATGCACGAGAGGGAGGTAGCACCAGACTTGGGGAACCCTCCAAATTTGCAGAAGCGCACGCACGCACGCACGCACGCGCGCACACACACACAATTAAATGGGGAAAAAGCAAGGCAGGGGAATCAAAAACAGTGCAATGAGAACTAGCAGCTTACACAAAGTATCCTGGATGGGCTATTAGAGTTAAGAAGAAAACCACAAACTCTCTTTCCTGCACCATACGGTGGTGTCCCAACTGGAAGGAAAGTGGGGAAAGATGCCTTCTACCTTCACTACTCTCCACAACCTTGCTATTTACCTATACAATAAAATCCAAATGATCTTGCATCAAGGAAAGGCCTTATGGGAGCAGAATGAGGGAGATATCTCTTTGCTTACATTCCCCCTTAAAAATGAACAGAACTACAACGCTCCTGTTTGAGGCTATCTGGAACCTTGAAGAACAACAGCGTGATGACTCACTGCAACATCTGGTTACAGGCCTATATGTTACTTTCAAATCCAATCTGCGAATTCTAGCAGAGTCTGAAATCTGCTTTGCATCTGCTTGCAAGTCACACTAACAAGAATCTGTGTTATATATTCATTATCCATGCTTCCTTCACTACCCCAATACCAGGAGACTCTTATCTAGGATACAGAGTGCCTTGAATGCCACAGGGAGCCTCTCAAAAACCACAGTCTCGATACTGTCAGGAACTGGAAGCCAGCATGCAAAGGCAATCAAGAGTCAATGGCAACCAAGCAGCAGGTTCAAGCCAGTAGTCAGGACTGAAGAGTGAACAGAATCAGAAGGCAAAACAGGAAGCAGGACTGGAGGACAACCGGAGGACTAAGAAGCAAGCCCAGAAATGCAAGACACATTAGAACTAACATAGACTTTGCTGCTCAAGCAAGAGTGAGCTGGGGAAAAGTCCTATACTAGGGCTGCCATATGTTCGGGAATCGGACTGTCAAAATGGCGTCTGGGCAGATTTTTGCTGAATCGGAAAAATGTCCAGGAAAATCTGTACATATGGCAACTAGGGCAATTTTATTAGAAAAATGCTCCCCAAAGACATAGTTTTTTGGGGGAGATGTTTGCCGCTCAACAACTTTGACTGGATTTTCACTTTGGGGAATATGGCAATCCTACCTATACCCCTTTATGACCAGGAGGTGCCAATGCTTAGCCTGGGTTGGTGGAGCTAGGCTGCATCTAGAAGTCTTTAAGAGGCTGAAATTAGCTAGAGCACCACATGGTCAATAGATCCCAGCACTAGCTCATTTACTAATAGAGAGATAAGGAAAATGTGCAGGCAGAATGCTGCCTGATAGCTTACTAAATGGTAAACTTGTTCCTGCCTTTCTGGCCTATGAATAAGAAAACAATTAAATGCTATTTCATTGGCATTTGATGCAATTAGGTAATTGTAAAGAATATCAGGCTAGCTGGATTTTGTGTGTTGCCTGTCCTGCAGCGATTGCAGCAGAAATTATTTTTTTTTTAAAAAAACAAATTTCCCCAACCCCTTAGGCCTCCTGCATCATGACACTTCTGGCTATGGCCTTGGCTGTCTTTCTTCACCTCTCTCTCAAAACTCACATTTCCTGTAACTGGTATCTTGGTTCTCACCCCCAAGCAAAACGCTGTATGTGCGACTGCCTTTACTTAAATCCCTGATTTGTTAGCCTCAGCTCTTTCATTCATTCATAGGAATGCAGGACAATGAGTCCGTAAGTGACTGTAGAGGCCAATTCCTCCACAGCGAAACTGAGATCAATGCACATGCAGAGTGAAAACATCCAACATGTGCAACAATACTGAACAAGATGAAGTCTCTGTGATTAAACTGAACAAAATGAAAATCAGTAAGAATCTGTCAAAGCTCATATCAGCAGCGACATTTTCACAGAAATCAGTGTTCAGAATCAGAAAAGGGAACTACAAAATGGAATTATTCTGCCTAGTCATCTCCAGCCAAAGATTCATATATTTATTATAAAGCAAACATATAAAACACCAATTCTCGAACTATCTCATTTGGAGGAATCAAAATTATATGCACAGATGTCATATTTCCTGAAAATAATTAACAATGCAATCTTACGCATGTGTCCTCAGAAGTAAGTCACACAGTGTTCAGTTGATCTTATTACCAGGTAAGATTGCAGCCTAAGTATCTTAATTCAGGGATGCATTTTTCTAAAAAAATCAATCATCAGAGTAAGATGAAAGAGAGGTGATTATCCTACCTCTTCCAGAGCCCATAGTGAATCAACGAGAGGTTTGATCTTCTTCTCGTTGTACAGTTTTAAGAGTTTGTCCATTACATTTTGAATCAGGCCACTTCGGCCTTGTTTGAAAAGCAGGTTTAAGAGAGAAAATCCAGCCATGACTTTGTTTTCTTCATATAGCTTGATCGGGTTCACTTTCTCCACTTGCCACCACTAGAGAGACAAGCAAATAGCAACAAGATCAGACCCATGTAAATTATTTAAGCAAGTATAAAGCGATAAAGTTTTATCCAGTGTTAATTCTAGGCAGAATAGACACAGTGAAATGAATGGACATGACTAGCCTCAATGGGTCAACTCTGAGTAGAACTAAAACTGGCAATTGCCAGAAATGGCAATATTTAATTTTAAGAAATCGGGATTATTCTCCCATGTGCACTGGTTTTGAGTCTGCAAAGGTTAGCCATTCCGTTAAAACAAAGAGTGCTTGGTGCACTAGTGGTGGTGGGGCTGAACTAGGACTCAGCTAGACTGGTAAAGAAAAAGCGATTTATATGCATTGTCTGTGCGATATGACATTGTGCCACCAAATGGCGATGTGGAGTCCCGTTTTCCTCTACCTGCTTTCCCTGTTTAAATTTACAATGCTTTAAACTGAAACACTTCTTTGATGTGTCTAGATCCAGCCCTAATGGAGCTCAGAGTTCTTTTCCGAGCCAATGATTTAGTGACATATAAATGAGCACCATCTAGCCAAGCCACAAATTTATTATACTTACTGATTTTGCAAAGCTGAAGAAACTTTTGGTTTCCCCGGTAACCATGTTTGATGAGCCTAGAAAAATAAGGGCCAGAGTAGGGGTGGGAGAAAGATAATTACATTTTAAATTAAAATATTGCTCATTGTGTGCCTTGAGGACTAGGCCTAAGAATTTGGAGATCCGAATCAAAATCTTAAAATAACATTCCAGTTCTCCGTAAAGATTTTATGAAAGTAGTACTGAGAAAGAATAGCACATCCTGTCCACGGTTTCAGAACACAAGCAAACCTCTGAAAATTTATGTCCATTCAAATATGCAGTGAGGCATCTGGTAGAGTCCAGATTTCACCAAGCTGGTACCCACCAGATCTTTGGGGCTACAACTTGCATCAACCCCAGCCAGCAAGGCAAATAATAAGGGATTATGGGAGTTGTAGTCCAGCAGCATCTGGAGAGCATCAGGTTGAGGAAAGCTGCCTTGCATGATTTTGTGTTTATGTCTTCCATACTCCCCCCCCCAGTACAGTACAGTGCCTTACATACTTGTTTTTCAGCATAGTTCTTCTCAATTTCTGATAGCTGAAACACATTTCACTTTCCTTTGAATTAAAAATGGAATTTTGTATTTGAAAAGATTTACCTTCACTTGCTGTTTTTTTACATCTGTTTACATGGTTTGTTTGTTGTTGTTGCTGTTTAAAAAATGATAATAGTGTTCACAGCGAAAAGGGATAAAAATAAGATGAAAAGCAAAATGTTACAGACTCAGAAAACTAAAACCAATACAGCCATTTCTACCATTATGTAAGACACCCTGAGAACAGTAATAGTTGGCATATAAATTGTAAATAAAACTAAAGTCTCTGAAAGAGTCTATGTCCTTGACAGTGAAGGGAAACAGAGATGAACCAGCCTGGGCTTGGCAGTGTACGCGTTTGCACACTGACTTGTAATATTTTTGAGGAAGGGCAGTTGAGAAATATTTTAACTGAAATGTGTGTGGAGAGAGCAGGCTTTTCCAACCTGGTGTCCTCCAGATGTTTGGGGATTGTATTATTCCCCATGGATGAGGATTTTCTGGTATGAACACACCACCTGTTGCTACTATTTATCCAGACCATTTTGCGGACACCAAGTTGGGGAAAAGCTGGTGTAAAACATCTGCTTTATTGGTGTAAACATATTGTCAAGATCCCAGATGAACGAGTTATTTTGTATGCATCCATAATTATGGAAAACTAGGAGAATCTAGCAGTATGAACTGATGATCAAAGACTGATTTGTAATAACTAAGGATGCTGCTTGCTATGTTTTGAGTGTTTTCTTGTCATTTGCTTTTGTGAGGGGAGAGAGAGAGAGAGAGAGTAATCCAATTGTGTTGGAAGATGGTAAGTGAGCCAGCATGCTTGATAGGCCTGATGATTCTGGGGAGACCATTCTGGCACTCACAGAGCCTGCCCACAGACGCTCTGCCAACCTCATCATGGGCCTTTCACCCCCACCAGTCCCAGGAACTGCCAGATGACTAAATGCCCAATAACAGCAAAGTGGGCAGGGGGGAGCCGTCATTGTCAAATGTAGATGAGAACTGAACTCTTAAGTATGGTGCACTCTCTGGCATACAACCACAGAGCCAAATTCTATTCTGAAGAATTCTTTCAGAGATTGGGGGGAGGGGGTCCTTCTGTTTTCCTTCCAAGAGCATCCTTTGTGCACAAAGAGAAATTGGGCTCATAGCCCAGATTCCTTGGTCCTCTCTTGGCAGGGAAGGGTGCTTTCTCTGTGCTGCCAAAAGGATACTTTGTGAGGCAGGGGAAGTGAAATCCTTGAGAGATAATGTGGGGAGAGGGGTTTCTGCTAAACCTTTTGATATCATTGACAGGGCCTTTTCCCCCTCTCTGGGTTTGCTTTATATCCTGCCTCAGCTCTCTGCTCCGCATCCCCCTCCATGACTCAGCTGTCAGGGTCAATCGTGCAATGATGGCTGCATTCAAATCAAGACTTGAGATCAGTGTCTCCCAATCCAGAATCTGGAACAGACCACGGGGAGCTAAACTAGGGGATGCTGCCAGAAGAGGGACTTGAGCTGGATCCTGAATTGTAGCAGGAAGTAGATACTGCTCACATATTTATGTTAAGACTCGACAATCTTACAGCTTGGTGAAATGCAAGCAAAGCAGTGAATCAGGGAGCAGGTGAGTTTCTTATTTAAAAAAGTAAGAATAGTGAACCTACATTTTGCCCTATATCTCAGGTTCTTCAAATGCTAGAAGCCTATTCTCTCCACGACACCCACCCCCAAATGAAAGCTACTGATCTGTCGATAATGGTTAATGGTGTGCCTGTGTGCAACTGCCCCTTTGCCCCCTGGATACCCTCATTGTATGAAAAGGTAAAGGATGCCTGTAAACTAGATGCCCATTGCATTGCCTAGAGCTGGTGTAAATTTCTCTTATGTTCCTTCAAGGTTCAAACTCCAAGGATTAGTATGAAAGCAGACTCAGAGGCAATTCAAATGAATTAGCACTTTTATGTTAGTGATGCTGACTGGGGCTGATCGCACCTATGGTCCATAATGTTCAGAGGCCTATCCCTGCATTAAGAACAGGTGAACATGCAGCCCCAGTCACATATGTCCTGAAGCTGCCCGCTTCTTTCATGTATGTATGTGTCTGCGTATGTCTCTCTCTGTACAGTAACGCCAGATTGAAATTATTTTCACTTGCTTCCCAGAACAGTAGCTGTGCTGCTCTTGGTTGAGGATAAAATGAGACAGAGAACCATGTATGCCACCACGAATTCTTTGGAGAAAAGGGTGTCATATATTTGTAATAATAATAATAATAATAATAATAATAATAATAATAATAGTTGTATTTGTCCACTGAGGCCACAATGATTGTTCATGCATACTGCATCATAGAGCAGTTCTGAGTCGATGTCATCCATTTCCACCATATGAGACACCATAGACTGATACTAATGACAACCTGAGTTGGCTACCATCGAGTGGCGATTGGCGGAGCGGGTGAGGGTTTATTTGCCAGCTGACTTTCACTCACCATATAAAATGTAAGTCCCGAGTGGTTTGAGAAGACTGAGGCCTTTGCCTGTATTTTCTCCACAAAGGCAGTCCAGGACAATGTCTACGCCGTCTGCAGAGATTCTAAAAAGCAACAGACACAAATTAAGACAATGCGGCTTGCTGCCTTCGACTCCATAGACCTCGGAAGATTTTCTGAGGAACTGAAACCCATACACATCATTTAAAAATGGGGCTGCATACAGCTAAGTCATATTCAGAGCAGACCCACTGAGAATGTAAGTTCGTCATGCCGATTGATTTCAGTGGGTCCACCCTGAGTATGACTTAAATGGACTCATGAACCACAAGAAGGAATAAATGGTTCAAGTACTCACCACCACAGCCTACTCCTAAGAGACAGATGCATAAATGTGCCAAGGGCCATAGATAAAGCACTTGCCAGTGTGAACATTCCTGTCTTATTTAAATGCAGCTGCCGCATTTGTTAGTCTTATACTCATGCCTTCTGAGAAAGTCTGCAATCTGTGGCTCAGATGACACTCACATGATAACAGGGGGCGAAATCAGGGGTTCCTATGGGTTGTTATTTTTAAAGTTCTGCACAATTATGTGCAAATGGTACAGAATGGATCAGGAAAGGGAATGGAATGGAACTAGACTGGATTAGTCTTCTCATTCCTAGAATTAACCATACAATTAAGATTTGTTGAGTCTCCTTAGACACCTTGTAACTTAGGTTGCAATCCTATACCTACTTGGTATGGACTCTGTATATATTGGGCCAATTTAAATGATGGGACTATAACCAGACAATTAAGTGAAACAAACCAGGGAAGTTAAAACTACAGGTTGTTAACCTCTGCAGCAGACTACAGAGGAAGAAAGGAGATATAAAATGTCATTATTTATTGCTATTGCAATTTTACAAGACAGGATGGGAGCAGAGGCCGTCACCACAGAAATAAAGATAAATTACAGCTCAGTTTATAGGAGTGCATAAAGACAACAAAAGCAGGGATTGTGAGCATTTTAAGTTAAGGAGTAACTGTAGTTACAACTGATTGTAAGGACTCCACTGAACACAGACATTTGCTTTCCATAATGATGTCCCCCCCTTTTTGAGTGAGGCAAGCCAGTGTGGTGTAGTGGTTAGAGCAGGGTTGGCCAGCATGCAGCCCATGAGTCACATACAGCATACAATAGGTTTTTTGTGCCCCTGTCATTTTTTTTAAACCCACACATTTCACTTAAAAGTAAGAATACTGTGCCTAAGGTGACACGATGCCAAAAGAATTCTGTGGCCCCAGAATTTGTCTATTAGTGTGTGTGTGTGTGTGTGTGTGTGTGTGTGTGTGTGTTGGAGACAGCATTAACATTTATTGCTCCACCCACTTTCCATTTTGGTTTAGCCTACCAAAGGCATAAGGTCCCCAGAAGATTATTCAGAAAGAGAAGTGACCATTAGGCTGAATAAGTTTTCCCAGATCTGCCTTAAAGGATAAAAAGCCAGGATTCAAACTGTATTCCCCTTCTCGCTTAAATGGCAATTTCTGGTTTTTTGTTTTGTTTTGTTTTTTGTGTAATAATTCTTCATCCTAACCAAACCTGTGAAATCCTGGCAATAGGCCAGATTTGACTGCACTCTGCAATTATAAACTATATTTGCGTCACTGATCATAGCAGTTGTAAAAAAAAAGAGAGAGAGAGCTAATTTTAATTAAACAGTTATGGAAATGATTGGTGCAGCTAAAATGGATAATTGCACCCTAGAGAGACTGAAAGGCATAAGGTACACCAAACATTTTTAATCCACACAAAAGGCATTTATTTTATAGCAATGATACTGTCTGAAATTAGATAATAGCACCTATAGTCATAGCACAGACTAAACTTTGTGGCCTGAAAGATGATTTTTCTTTCTTTTTCGGAAACAAGAAGAGCACCTGCCACTAGATGGGTGATTTAGGAAAATATGGAATACTAGAGAGGCCTCAACCAGAAGTCGGGTGACTGCAAGCTGCAATATGTTCCTGTGGTTGTGCAATGACATCATGAAACCCTTTACTATTATACACCATGTGACATTTCAGCACCACATAAAGCAGGCTGATTGCTCAGTTCCATGGGAGCATAAGGCTTGTTGGATAAGCAGGCAGTGTCTGATTACAGTCAATTCAAGTCAGAAAACAGAAAGGAACAGGACCTTGGACAGTTCCAAAAAAGGCCTGCTAAGGCACCCATAGGAGCTGTTGTCTCCACATGGTGCAACAGCCAACTGAAGCCTTAAATAAGTTGTTGTTCTTGTTATATTTTTTATACCCCACCTTTCTCCCTGTTGGAGACTCAAAGGCAGCTTACAAATAAAATAAGGACAGGTAAAATAAGTTGACCAGCCCCCAAGTATGGTTGGCTGTGCCTCTACAGAGGAGTTGGCAGGCTGGCTACAGGGCCCTCACATTATTTTGACTTCTTTGAGGCTGAGGAGATAGAGGTACTCTGGGGACTCATCTCCAGGGTCAGAGGATAGTGGCAAGGCTGTGCCCTCTGGCCAGGAGGGCCCTGAATGAAGTACTTGTGGTTGTGTGTCCTCCGCCCCTCCCAGTGAGAAAATAGGTTGAACCTCATCCACCTTTTGCCATGCACAGTAAAGTGCCCAGGTGTCTTTTGCCATGCACAGTAAAGTGCCCAGGTTGCTTGTCATGATGCTAGATGTGATTGCTGAATATGTTCCACTTGACAGCACAATGAATGGGAGCAGAGTATCAAGAAAGAATACCCTAAATTGCAATGCCATTTTTGCAAATTATGACAAAGAAGAAAACCTCCTTTCACTTGACTCTGGAGATCTCAAATGCTGCTTCCAGAAATAACAACTCATCATTCTGGTTTAGTTTGAGAATGCCCTAGGGAGAAACCTGAACCCCTGCCCACTTAGCTCAACTGAGGTACTGGTTTGCAGTTTAACAGGTGTCAATTGGATTTTCCACCTCTTTTCATCTTAGTAAGTTGAAACAATTTTATTGAAAGATATAATCCTTTGCCCCGAGCAATAAAAAAGGAGTGTAAGCTAATAATATCATCTTTTGATGAGCTTCCTCTTGTAAAAGCACAATGATTAGCCTTTCCTTTCAGAAACTAAAAAACACTTTTCATGTAGACATCATCCTCTTTAGAGCCAGTTCATCCAATATCTTTGTCGTCCTCAAGAGCAGTCCTGATGCTTATCTAAGAATATAAGGGCAAAATCTCAGACCTTCCTTGCTACCTCATGGAAGTTCCTAGAACATGAGTCACTTGCAAGGCATGGGCAAGGAAGGTTACATGGGGAGTGGACAAGCACACAGATCTTCTCTAGTCTCTTGTGCAGCCTGCTTGAGTGCCAAGGCACATGCGTAAGTGGTGAAAGGGGGAAAGCAGGGCTCTATTGAGACATCTTGGCATCCTTCCTAACAGACACTGAATCCATGGTGTAAGTGGGTCATGCTCATAGCATGCAAAGCTGCTGGAGCACAAAGATAGTTAAGCGGTCATTCTGTGATAACCACAGCAGCTGGAAAAACTGATGGGATTTGCTGCTGTAATCTATATTTATGGTGCTTATTAGTTGCAGTTTTGCACTCAGGTGCCACAAAACAACTTACATGGTGAAAATAAAATGACAAAAACATTAAAAGCAGATAAAAATAATAAACAAAAACTAAAATACTCATCTGGCAGTATAGTTAAAAGGAGCAAGTCCTCCCCACATCAGTTAAAGGATGAGCTGAACAAAGAGACATCAATTACCCTCCCTGTTAAAAAGTCATAAGTCTGTGTAAATTAGAATGCGTGTGTCTGGTGCCTAAAAGCAGGTTGCAAAGGTGCCAGGTGTGGTTCTCTGGGGACAGCCTTCCACAATTAGGGAGCCATCCCATAATTCTCAATGAAGGATTATAAACCCACCCACCTATAAGTATGATGAAAGCCTACAAAATAGGACAACAGAAATCATATATTGAACATAGCTCACATTTTAGGTTGTATCCAACTAAGCTCTACTCTACCTGGAAGGAAGAGCAGGATATAAACTAGATAATAATAGATAATAAATAAATACTCAGAGTACACCCATTGAAATTAACAGACCAAGTTAGTTATGCCCATGAATTTCAGCAGGTCTACTTTGAGTATGAATAACACTTTGCTAGCTTTTATAGTTATTCTCAACAAGTAAAATAAAGCAAATCTCTTACTTTTTAACTTCTTGGACGTAATCTGCATTTCGGTCAAACAGGTGGGTTACAGAATCTTTGATTGCCTCATGCTTGAAGGAAGAAGCTGTTCCAAACACGGTAACGTCGGGGACTGTTGAGCAGAGCTGAGCAACGGCTTGTCCCTGCAAATGCACCGCTGCATTAGCTATTCTGACAAATGGAGTCTTTTATCTATCTTTTATTTATTTGGACCCCTTGGTTTAGACCCTCTCAGTTGCTAATGAAGTCATATGTCCCCTCCTGCAAGTTGCAATGAGACAAGCAATGGGGGAATTGGGTTTCTTTTCTAGACCAGGAAGACCTTGTGGACAGCCAGGAGGTTCCAACAGCCAGCCTCAGTTCGTGGAATTAGTCCAGCTTCTGAAGATACTTCATTCAAAAGCTGCCAGCAGTTCAGTGTTTCACCACAATGGGCAGCTATAGATGGACTCAGCTATTCTGAATCCTGACGTGTGAAGAGCATCCAGAGAAGAATACATGGGTGTTTAAAATTCAGGATCCAGCTTCATCAACTTTCATTTTGGAATTCTCTAGCATTTAATGGAAGCTGATATTATTGGTGTTACTGATCGAGTCTCTTCTTTTTTAAATCTTGCTTTTTTGAATATATATATATATTGTTGTGTTGTTTCTCTAAAATGTAGTTAGCAACATTGAAAAATCTTTAACTTAGAGATAGGAAAGGAATACTTTCAATAAATAACAGGTTCCCCAACTATGTGCCACAGACCACCAGCGGTTTCTGAGTTTCATTCAGGAGATATGTGGCATGTCTGTGAGGAACACTTAAAATCTATAAATTCAAGGTGTAATATAATAAAATGCAATATAACAAATAAAAGAAGCAATGAAATACATTTAAAGTCACACAGCATCTAGCACACTACATTACAGTTGCTAAAATAGGCAGATTTTTTATTTTTTTATTTTTAGTGATCCATTAAAACTCTCAGTGAATTTCACATGGTCCATGAGAAATTTAGTTTGGAAATCACTGTAATAAATCAAATGAATATAATGATGAGTGAGAAGCTACCACCTGTAGTTCAGGAACTCACCACCTGGGGCAGCTGTGCACAGACCCAGCTGTTCTTTCTATACTGCACTTCTCCCTGTCCAGGATACCCAAACACTTTTACTTGTGTCCACCCCTTTGGCCTTCTCCAATATCTTAGAGACAAAACACTTGATCACGTATCTATTGCTGGACTGTACCACTTCAAGTGAGGTGGGAGGGTTGTATGTTTGAATGAATATCCTGCCCATTACAGGGTTGCAGGCCAGGAGGAACCTAGCTCAGATTCTGTTTTTAAAGGTGTAAAGTGAGTCTTCTTCCAGACAACAGCCATGGAACAGTCAAAATTAGAATGAATTTAAAATGATATTAGCACAGCACCCTGATTGAAGACCTAATTATATTTTTTAAAAAGGAAAACCTCCATCAGGTGCTTTGAAAATGCAGACTAAAATGTACACATATGGGCTTTAAGTATGATGCATTGGATTTCTAGGTTCAGCAAGTTTGCACTGACAATGGATATTCAATATGTGCAGGAAGGCAACAGCATTAGTTGATGGTTTTTACAAAAAGGGAAGCAAAGCTGCACTCTGACCCAGCTAAGTTTTGTAGTTCAAACATATGACATTCCCTTTGTAGTCAGCTCAAACTGTTTTGAGTCAAACTTGAAACTGGAGATCAAGTTGCTGCTATAGGGTAGCAATCAATGCTTCTGCATGAATCTCTTTTTGATTTTAGTTCCTGAGGGAAATAATATTTGAATGGGAAAAAATGTCAATAGTCACTCTGTAAACCCAGTTCTTGAACTGAAACTGATTTAGGGCACAACTAGACATTACATTAATGGCATGAACACAATTAATGTACATCTCAGCTGTTGGGGGGGGGTCTGAGCAACAACAGGACTGCAATGGGTGGGGAAGGGGTATTTAACCCCTTCCATTCTTACATGGTCCCCTCTTCCATTGGTTTGCTATTTGAATCCATAGTGAAATTTACAATCCACCTCTCTTCCCAGGGAACTCTAGGAATTGCAGCCCTGTGCAGGAAATGGGGCCTCCTAACGAATCTCAGCACCCTTTACAAACTACAGTTTCCAGGATTCTTGGGGGGAGGGCTGTGGCTGTGGCATCATACTGCTTTAAATGCATGGTACAGATGAAGCCACAGTTGTGTATGCACAGGCTCTGTTCAGAACTTTAGTTGACTGGGTGGAGGTTGGGAATTAGAATAGTTAGCCAGAACCCTTGTGTGTTAATTGAGTTGGTGAGAGGCCTTAAGTCTGTCTTCCTCTCTTCCCTTTAGGCTTCAGCCACAGAGGCAAAGGAGCATTGCACCAATGTTCATCCCGCACAGTCAGTGATATGGGTAAGCTCAGGTGATGGCATAGGAGGTTAACCAAGTGTTTTGGAACAACTCCCGCAATGCTTAAGAGCTCCCCTAAGTGGTGTGCCAATCAAGGTCCCAAATGGAAGAGAAGAAAGCCTCTTGAAGGCCAATTGGTATAATCAGCATGGCATATTGTGATTTACATTGATCTCTTCCTCTGAGAGCCAGACATAGCAATAAATTAGAATGAAAGAGCACACAGACCTTTCAATGCCCTCCTTGGTACAGATGAATGAGTAGCCTGGTGTATGTTCAACCCAAAAATCAATTGGGCCTTTCAAGCATTCCTTTTCAGCACTTGGAATCAAAGCTGTGGGTGTGCTCAAATCCTGTTCCCAGAAGGGGACATTAGGAACAGGAAGGAGATACCCCAAGTCCAATTTTTAATGACTACACTACACTGCTTTTCTGGACATCAGAGAACTTCTGGGTTAAGAAATATACTTTCTGTCTTTTTATTGCACTACAAAGCAGGGAGGATGCAACAATTGTGGGCTCTACTGATTCACTTTTGCTCAGGTCTTCACAGAACTCAGAAGAGGCCTTGGCTGTAGCTTCCAACAGATTGGATTTTTCAGAAAGCAAACGTGCCCTTAGATGCTTAAAATGCATTAAGCAGGGAAACTGAATTTTGCACTGACGTGAACAAAACAAGCACCAATGCTTTGATGCTACAGGGCCCCCATTGATTTTTCTGGACATTTCAGTATGCCCATGACATTTGGGAACAAAGTGGGTACATTCAAGGCCCTTGAATTTATTATCAGGAGAAGTCCAGCAACGTCTAATCAGAAGCCATTTCCAAGGCCTGTTGTCCTGCATTATTCATAATGAACTTTATGTGCAGCTAAAGTTGTTGCAGTGGATTAATATGTGGAGATTTAGTGTGGGAGCCTCTGGCTTAATGTTCTTGTGACTTTGGCAGTTCATTCTCTCTAATGCTTAGCTGGATGCCAACACCCCTAAATAATTTCTTTACTGTTCAGATTTGGGAGGATGGTGGAGTGAATTTAAGAGTAGGAAGGTTTTGTAAAACTAGGTTTTAACCCATTCTGGTGCACAATTAAGAACATATGAATCTAAGAGCAGCTCTCCTGGATGAGAAGGATGAACCACCTAGTGTATGTTGGCAATGTGTCCTACTGTACAGAAGGCAATCCTGTCTGAATGGTTTTCTGGTCCAAGTTCCATTTAAAGATAAATAACTCTCAAGACTGGAGAGTAGGGGCCTTGAAGTGGCCCACCACAGTTCCTGTTTACCCAGGCTTTTGGATCTCAATTTAACAATAATGTGGAATAAGCCAGGCCTGGTCTGATGTTCAACTTTTAGTGGGGTAGGATTTGTCCCTTTTTATTCTTGTTGACGGATGAACACTTTTATTATTCCTGTGTTATATCATCTGTTGTTGATTTTAAATGTTTGATAAGTGGATACAAATATTAATATTCTGTAAGCTACTTTGACACATTTTAAAAACGCAAATAATAATAAAAATATAGTAATTATTTCTACATTTGCATCTATTCACATAAATTAGCATATGAAAATGTTATGCAAATCCAAATCCTCTTCTGGCCTCCTTTTTGTTATTCATTTCCTACCCTTTCATGATATATTAAGTGGCTTCCCTAAACGTTAGGTCGTGGCCATCACTACAGCTTGTGACAGTGAACTCCTTGAGTTAATTACACACTGAAGGGATACTTGCATTTGAATTACTGTCAGTCAGGGTCAGACTAGATGTGATGCTTGTTATGCAGTTTGGCATTGAGTAGCTGGGTTTTTTTAAATAAAAAAACCTAAATAGCAAGTGGTGCGGGATGTGGTGGGGTAGGGAGAAAGATTTGGATCCTCTATGCACTGTGGGAAGAGAGAGGGTTTCACAAGGGTAGGAGGGATGTTTTTCAGCCCAAGGGCCACATCCCATTCTGGGCAACCCTTTGTCGCCCTGTTCTGCACCTTTTCCAGTCTCATGATACCTTTCTTTTCCTTTATTTGCTTCTTTTCTTTTAAAAAAGTGTAACTAGAAATGTGCAGTGTATTCCAAAGGCTCTTTCTCTTTCCCCTCTTTTGGACATGTGCCTCATGGTTTGCAATTTCATTGGGGCAAGGATCTACCCTTCTTTTGACCTGTAAAGCACTGTCTATTTAAGTTAAAGAACACACTAACACGGACCACAATTGCCCTGTGGAGTCCCTAAGCCCAACATTATTTTTTTAAAGCTCTGTGTTATTTTCAAATCCCACACTTGGGATTTAAAAATAAAAATAAAAAAATTCAACAAGCATAAACAGAGCTCCTCTGTACTGTACTGAACTGTAATAAGATTATAAATTCCAGTCCTTTACTGCAATGGGTCATTCATCTTAAACACAATTATTTGGGGCTAAAGAGATTTTGTGCTAAAATGATTTTTATCCTTGTTAGGGCCAGTTGTAGCCTGTATGGTCAGGAATTTGGCAGACAGTGATGATGGGCCCCCAGAGCTTGCAATCTTCTTTTCCAAATACCTTCCAAATCTTTCAGGTTGGTTATTTCTTTTAGTGATGGAGTGGGGGCAGTGGTTGTCAGATACAGAAGAGGCAAATCTCCACCCACTGGCTGTTGAGTTGAGATTGAGTTGAGGGGATCCTGACTCAAGAACCATCCAGTTTGATCTCTCTCCTTCTGGGGAGTGAATCGTCAGAGTTTAAGGAAACACTCCAGCAAGGCAAAAAAACAACAAAAACAAACCACTCAGAGGGGGCTGAGGTTTGACTGAAATTTGACACACAGGTTGAAAGTTTTAATTCCTTTTAGGACAAAAGTTAAGCCAACTTACCACACCGCCGCCTGCAGAGTGAACCAGCACCGACATGCCTTCTCGCAAGTTGGCGACTTCAAAGAGCATCACGTATGCAGTTACAAAGTTCATAGGAAAAGCAGCAGCTTCAGAAAAGCTCATATCATCAGGGATTTTGTACACAAATTCAAGAGGTGTGCACACAACTTCTGCCCAGGCATTGTAGTTGACAAAGGCCATGACTCTGTCTCCAATCTGTAGACATTTTGGGGGGAAACACACATTTGGGTTACAGCTTTCAGGATGTCCCTGGCAACATGGCTACAGAGGAATGGAAAGCTCAGCAGGGAACTTTTTATGTCATTGCAGGCAGGCACAATTGTTCCCAGTGGGGAACAGTTCATACATTTACCTACCAGCCATTGAGTCTATGTCTAGCATATAAGGATCAAATGACACACATGTTGCCAAAACAGTGGTCTGGGATAAGAAATATGATTCAAGGCTTTTAATTCTTGCCTCAAATATCAATTTGTGCCCATAAAGACTTTCCCTCTGTGGATTTCCCATAGTGCCTACCCATTTCCCACTAAAAATAGAAAGAAGGCTTGAAATAAACATCTACCGTAGTTAACAGACTATGTTGAAGTGTGTGCTTGCTATGCCCATAAAATTTTATTTGGTTTGCAGATGTGCCCAGGGCCTAAAATGTTGGTAACTCCTTGGACAGTTACAGATAGGTAGCCGTGTTGGTCTGCCATAGTCAAAACAAAAAAATTCTTTCCAGTAGCACCTTAAAGACCAACTAAGTTAGTTCTTGGTATGAGCTTTCGTGTATCTGAAGAAGTGTGCATGCACACGAAAGCTCATACCAAGAACTAACTTAGTTGGTCTTTAAGGTGCTACTGGAAAGAATTTTTTCCTTGGACAGTGTTAAACAACAGCCTCTAACACTGCTATTTCAATCAATATAGAACCCACTGCAACTAATTTAAAGTAAAAATATACATGTTGGAAGATTTAACTGCATGCCTGTCTCATATCATTATGTTTCTCTATAGCTCTTATTCAGTCAGGTCAGGGAGGTTTCTTAAACTTGCCTTTTAAAAAAAAGGACAGGCAAATTGGAACTGCACAGCTCCTTTGTAGATAATGAATTATCTCAAAATCCCGCCAATCCCTAAAGCTTAGAAAAGTTGCAATAGAGGAGAGCAGCAAATTATCCTACTGACCTCAATGAACAGGTTTTTTTCATCTTCTCTGATCACTTCTAGTGTTATATCAGTGCATATCTTCAAGTTCTTAGTGACATTTTTGGACTTTGCTGGAATTATCTTGAAATTATCACAAGTGTATGTGTGTGCATTTTTTTAGTATAGATTGGATTTTTACTGCAAACTTTATATCATTGCCTTCTCAAACCTACAACCAACTTTATCATTTCCTTTTGACAGATTCTAAAATAGGAAAGCAATTCATATTACTCTTCTGGCTGAAATTCAATTACAAACAAAGAGATACTACACCAGAAGAAAAGGTTGGTGCTGGAGAGGTTGGTGCAGTAGAAATCCTTTTTTAAAAAATGGAAATTGTTATTCTATATATCATGTTCAGCATGTTATGTTGAAGTCCATAAGAATAAAGGTAATTTATTGCGTAATGTTCTCTGCAGATTTTGCTATAGATAATCTTCACATTGGTGCTCAAATATTTTTCAAGTGGAACATGCTGTTTTAGAGGACCCTAGAAGCTACTGAAATCCCGCCTCAAGAGTTCAGCTTGAACGTGAGGACAAAAAGTGTGTAAGGGGGGGTGTGTGTCAGAAGCAAACCTACAGGCCTTGCCCACGATGTCCCTGCCTGTCTGATTCCCTTCCCTCTTCACTCCTGAACTTCATGTGCTAAGCACAAAAATCTGATGGCTTGTTAACTCCATTGACATACACACCCAGAAACCTCTCCATGATCAGGAATCCTACAAGTGATAGGGAACCCAACTAAAAACTTTGCCTGTGATTGGTTACTGGGTCAGGTATTATGCCTGTGATCAGGAACCCGATCATGAAAGAAGTCCCCTTCAGAACTTCAGGGCATGCAGTGCCAGATTTAGGTGGTGCAGGCAGTTCCCCACACAGGGCACTGAGCTGAGGGGACACAAATTAGTGCACTTGAGAGCATGTGCAGAATGGGAGGCAATGGTGCTGCCATTTTTGCTGTATCAGCTACAGAAGCAATGACCCTCACACCCTGAACATCAGAAATAGAATAAGTGAGGCCTATAACAAAAGGTTGCAGTGTGGACTGTTCTTGTTCAGTCCCCTCCCTTCAGGAAACTTTATTCCATCCCCCCACCCCCAGTTTGTCTACCACTGCCACAAATCAGCATTCTGTGGCCACCGAGCACACTTAGTCCTCATCTGGATATTTTTTATCTACCTCAATGAGTTTGCACACCTCCAAGTGTAATCATACCGCCCTCTTGTCTGTAGGTGGTGCCATTTTGGCTACATTAACTGGGCAGTCACACCTGAACGTCAAAAATAATGATGATATCATCATATGGGTCATTTTGGTTTTCAACGTCTTTATCAACAATTCCTATCGTTGAATGTGAATTTTTCACTTCTGTGGCATACCAAATTGAAGTTTTCCTTGAGCTACCCACCACAACTAATATGTGATCATATCTAATAAATACATTGCCACCATCCCAATCAGATATACATATGAGATTACCTCATAGCCTTTCACATTGTCACCCAGAGCTTCTATGATCCCAGAGCATTCAAATCCAGGCACAAGTGGAGTTTTGGGTGGATTGTCAATGTTCCCCTGCCGAACCATCAGGTCAATAAAATTTAACCCACTGTGAATAAAAGAAACAAGTAATGAGGATCTGTATCACAGTACAGTAAACAAAGGAGACAAAATGTAGGTTAGACTTACACAATCTGGTGTCCTCTAGAATCTAGATGTCATGGACTAGTCCCATACCTTATGCCATCAAAACAAAACAATGACCATAACAGCCACAGGAGGCTTTGGCAGCACACTAGTAACAAAACAACATTGTCTCAGTCAATTAAAAGTCCTGGTAGAAAAGGTAAGTCATTACCTGGTGCCACAAAGATGTCAGTGAAGGTGCCAGGCAGTCCTCACTAGAGAGAGGATTCCACAGATGGGGAGCCACAACTAAATATGCCCCCTCTTCTGTCATCACCCTCCAAGCCTCCCTCAGAGGGCCACCTGGAGAAGGGCCTCTTAAAAAGCGCTAAGGGTCTGGATAAGTTCATATGCATAACATATAAAATGGAGTTTAGAGAAGTCTTTTCCAGGTTTCAACATCAATAGCATAGCCATCTCCTTCTGAATCTCATTACCCACCAACTGGTCACTGACAAACTGATGACACAGGTACAGGTGACACAATGCCAGAATTCTCTTTATATATTTAATATTGTCTTCTGTAAATAGATTATGTAGGATATATAGAGCATATTTGAAAAGCATAACTGACCTAATCCAGATGGGTATTCACTTTCTGTGTAAAGTCTGTGCAGCAATTTGACATGTCTTCTTATGAATTATTTGTACTTCACTGTTTGCATTTGTGAAGTCTTTCAAAGCTATATTAAGGGACCATGCACAACCCACATTTGAAAAGCACATTTTAGAAGGGGAAAGGCCATATTATGTAATTCCAGCAACCACACTGACCTACAGAAAGCCATCTCTTATCCAAACATTGAGGTAGACACAGGATGGAAATGAAAACTGAACTGAACATCCACAGCAAAAGACATGCCCATCAGGATTAAATGAAAAGCTCAAATCTTGATGCATGCTGGATTTCTCTTGAAAAGCAGCTAGGGGTGGATATGACTTGGGAGAAATGGTCTCACAGGCCTAATTAGGACCCCTGGTGGGCCTTTATGCAACATCCCCCAGGGATGTTGCATAACATCCTACCTGAGTTCTGAAGAACTCAAACGTTTGCTGAATACTTTGCAATATTTGAATTGGCCCTAATAAAGGATTTGTTTTTCTGTGGATCCCACCATGGACCAACAAAGATACCTATGATAGGTTCATACCCATTGAGTTTCCCTTTCCTAGGGTGGCCAGGTGAAAAAGAGAAGTTTTTGCAGCTTTGATAAATAGTTTTAAGCTACACCTTTTGAAACTCCCTCTTGTACACAACTATTAAAGGTGTACAAGCCCAGTTCTCCTTCTCTCCTGTCCATTCTAAACATTTTCAGCTGGTGCTGAAGACTGAACCAAAACTGTCAATGTGTTAGAAGAGTTTTTCTCGATTTGAAAATGTCCTCACTGTATCTCTGCTAGACATTACTAACAGTGCAATCCTATACATGTCTATTCAGAAGCAAGCCCCACTGACTTCAATGAGACTTACTGCTAGGATGCAGCCTAAACAAAGCAAAATGGGATTAACTATATAAACCTTTTTCCTTGACTGGTTCTGCTGTAGGCAGACTCTGCTACAAGAAAATTTACACAGCAGAGTGTTCATACAGACATGAAAAATGTTTCACTGTATTCCCAACGCTGTAAGAAAAACCCTTGAGACAGGCCATTTCCTTCTCTTTGTGTCCCCTCTGAATATCAGAAAATAATTAATGCTGCTTAAAGATAGAAACATGTTTACACGTTGCCTCTCTGTAGAGATGCCAGAAAAACTAACCATTACATTGCCTTTGAAGTCTGGTAACAGACTTGGATGTAATCTCAGAGAACAGCTCCAAACAAAGAATGTGATAACAACACGTTAGTGGAACTAGATTGTTTTGGTTACTACTAGAAATTGGGGCCCCTCCCAATCCAAGGCAGATTCAAGTGTATAAGGGAGACACAGAACTCTCACTGCCTTAGGGCACTCCGTCTAGTAGCAAACTCAGGTGGTGAGTGCCAAAACTAGGCCACTGTGAAACAGGGGTGTGCGCATGTGTATCAGCTGCTTAGGATAACCCTAAATTTTGCAGACCTCCAAAATTCCCAAAAAGCAATCTCTACCCCAAACTAGTCCAATGAGGGCTGAGCCACAGAATGCTGAGTTGTTTGGAAAAGGAAAAATAGAAGAGGGTGGGAATGTGTTATTTGATGGATTAGCCAACTGGAATCAGGAATGGGGGCATATCTTTTAGGAATGTTGAGGAGACATTGCAACATTTTGTTGCAGTTGACACTGGTCCTGTCTGTTTTGTGCCATGGCAAGCTATCATCAGACAACCTTCATGATCCAGGTTTTGGCTGCAGTTCTATACTCACAACCATTCTACATTCACTGAGTGAAGTGGAGGCGGGGGGAATGGACTTGCATCCACTGTCCATACCTTCAACCTTAGCTGTACCCATGAACAGGGACTACATGCATACAAGTGGACATAATCACAGTTCACACATTCATTGAACATGGAATTGCTGTGTGATACTTCTCCCTGTATTGCTTGCGACCACATTTCAAATTTCTGTGTGGAGGTAAACACCAATTTTGATATCCCTTGTGAGCACCTGTGCAAGTCCGCTGGTTTCCTGTACACCTCTAAGCCAGGGGTAGAGAAACTGCAGCCCACAAGGTGATCCTGGACTACAACTGCCATAAATCCCTGCACATTGGCAGAGTGGGAATTACACCCTGATGGAAATGATAGTACAAAACATATGGAGATCATGAGGTTGGGGAGAGCTGCATTGCACCATGCTAACTCCTATAATATCACATCCTTCATGTGGGGATAAAGAGTTCTTGCACCGATTGTTCATATGCAAAGCAGTGTTCTGGGAACATTGAGCTGGGGATGTCTGAGTGGAAGCTAACACAGACATTAAAGACAGAAAGGGCTTGACCCAGAAAAAAACTGAATGAAAAGCTGCATGAATACAAGACAACATTCATGAGGAGATCTAGGTCATTGGAAACATCAATGGAAATGAGTGCCTAATTTAATTATTGCTCCTGATTGCAAGTTGAGCACTGATTGGCTCTCTGGCCCAGCCTCCAATTCTGCATCTATCCGATATACCCTGCCTTTTTATATGTTCAGGGCAACATACAAGCTACAATAAAAGTCACAATGAAGCCCTAAAACCAAATGATATCCCTCTGCCTACTGTGACTCACACTGGTAGCACCAAATCTTATTAAGGCTAGAAACTCCATATTTGTATAAGTGGAAGATTAATCAACTAAGTGCTTTGTGATTTATGAGTAATGGCAACTGGTAAGGCTGAAAGTTTTGGTTCTGGTGTACTGATGTAGGCTGCTCTCAGACTTTGAAAATCCCTCCCTAGAGAAGTTAGACGGGCTCCCTTCTTGCTGTCCTTCCACCAGCAGGTGAAGAACACCTTATTCCAGCTGCTTTTAATGAAAGGCCTGGTGCTATGCTGCTTTTATTGTAATTATCCATATGGTTCTTAAAAAATATATCTCTTATATTAATATATAGTTTTAATTCTGTAAATGTTTGTTTTTAAAGACCCCCCCCCCATGTTTTTAGCTATTCCTATTTTATCTGTAAGCTGCTTTGAGTCCCTGTTAGGGAAAAAGGAGAGGTATAAATAAATAGATACAACTACTGCTGCTACTACTACTACTAATGATACTGACTTTGCTGTGTATAACTGTCCAGAAACCACTTTGCTTTTCTGTTATTTCTTATAACATCTTGGGCAAATCCAATAAGCCAAAAGGTAGGAGTTGCAGTTATAAGCACACCTATTTGTGAGTTAGCCCCACTGAGGAAGAACTTACTTCCAAGTAAAGATGCATAGGTTCCAATTGAATGGACTTGTCAGCATCCTTGTTACTTGTTTAGAAAAGGGAAGGGAGAGAGGAAAGTGATGCATGTAATATGCCTGAATCCCAGAGGTTGAAAACAGCTAAAAATAACCTCATCCAGTTTCCTGCTGCAAGAAATGACTACGAACTCATCTCTTCAAACATCACACCAAATCACGCCACAAGCTAAGAACAGGCACATCACAGAAAATTACTATACAACTGATATAGTAATTTGTATACAGTACAGTGGAACTTTGGTTCTCAAACGCCTTGGTACTCGAACATTCCGGCTCCCGAACACTGAAAACCCAGAAGTAAGTGTTCTGGTTTTCGAAAGTTTTTCGGAAGCCGAACGTCTGATGCAGCTGTTGGCTATTGTTTCTGGGGTGCCTGCACCAATCGGAAGCCGCACCTTGGTTTTTGAACGTTTCGGAAGTCAAACGGACTCATGGAACGGATTACGTTTGAGAACCAAGGTACCACTGTATAGCTGTATATTCAAGAAAGAACCGTACATTTTCAGATATCATGGGGTGAGGGAGGAATATCATTAAAAAAAAAAAAAGCAGCATTCTGCTATGTAAAACAACCTGCATGTAGAAAAATAGCAGAGGTGGTAGATAGGTGACTCTGACCTTTCAGCCTGCAATGCCAGATGCATTTTGGAAGGGAGCCTTTTTACAAGTGATGATTTAAAACAACAACCTCCTCTGCAGGGCTACAGTCCATTCTACTACTTCAGGACATTCTCTCCATGTCCTCATTCTCTCCATGTGTAGATCAAGCCTTAGTCACAACCAAATTGGATCTGGGAGTTAGCATCTCTGAACTACTGTGAATACATCCATAACTACAGTAGACTTATACTGCTTTTTAAAAAATCATCCTTCTTCCTCAACATGAAACTTGGAAAATTCAGGATTGTCATTTATGTATCACTCGAAAATAAAGGAAGAATTTATATTCATAGATGTGCATTATGGAATAATTAATTACTATAACAAAAATACAATAAATTTCACTGTAATGGCCAGGAGCACAGGAAGCTGTTTCATACTGAGCCAGGCCTTTGCTTCACCTGGCTCACTGTTGT